GTCTGTCTGTCTGTCTGTCTACAGGTGTATCCAGACCCTGTTCGGGTGGTGGCGGTGGCGGTGCCGATCTCTGACCTGTTGGAAGATCAAACAGACAGACAGACCTCTGTGGAACTCTGCTGTGGAACGTGAGACTCAAACACACCTGTTCACCTGTTCAAACCTTTCACTTAGCAACACATTTAACAAAAAGAAGTCCACCAGTGAAAGTGTAGTGTAGTTTTGGGGCTGTATTTCGGGGCGGTGGCAGTGAGGCAGCGGTTAACGCAGACTGTCTGTGTTCAGTCACCTGCTGCAGACCGGCGCCATCGAGGATCTGGTGATTGTCTCTGAGAGACAGATGGTGAAAGGAATCAGTCGGATCGTCGCGGTGACGGGACGGGAAGCAGCGCGGGTCAGTTACTAACTGCTCTCAACATGTTTGATCTTCATAAACGTGATCATCAGATTTATTATTAAGGAAGGAAATATTTCAACCTTTGCTGTAATTTATACACATTTAATTCTGATAACATGCAACGTTCTACAATCTGAATTCTCTGGTTTTAGAATGAGAATCAAATTTTAAATAAGCTATTAAATATTTACTTATTTTATTAATGACTCACCTGAGGCAGGTGTGTACGGAGTTTGTATTGATCGTTGATTATTCGTATCAGTTTTTGACACCTCTGACCCTCGTCGTCCAGGCTCGAGAGACGGGTCAGGTGTTGTCTCAGGATGTGGACTCTCTATCATCCAGACTCACAGGCTCCGCCCCCATCAGCCTTGAGTCTGCCCAGTGTTTTGCCAAGGAGGTCGGAGTCATCTCTGATGTACGTACACTACCCATGATGCACCGCAGCCACTGACATATGAACCAGGTGATGTGTACCTGTTGTTTGACCCTGCGCTGTGTCTGTCAGGCTGTAGATAACACCCCCATCCCCCAGTGGCAGCGTAGAGAACTGCAGAGTCGCCTCAAAGCCATGCAGAGGACCAGCAACACCGCTGTCAGGAAACTGGAGACCAGAGATGTGAGATTCACTTGAGACTCACCTAAGCCTCTATCTTAAATAATAATCTACAAATGTTTCAGTTTGCTTTATTCTCAGTTTTGTATGTTTTTAGACTGTTTTCCCATCATGCTTTGCAGGCTGCGGCAAGAGTTCAGGCTCTGCTGGAGAAGAACGGCAGGAAGGATCTACAGGTGGACTCTGTGGAGACGGACTCTCTGTCGGTAAAAACTATCCTCTAATCTAAATAAACATGTGAAACTAAGAATTTAAATGAGTAAACTGGAAACAAAATAAAAATAATGAAAAATATAAAACCCTGTCTCACACCTGTCTCACACCTGCGTCTGTCTCCTGTTAGATCCTGATGAAGACGGTGAACCAACTGAGCGCTGCGGCTCCTCACAGTCACGTGATGCTGCTCGCTCACCAGCGGCATTCTGGGAAGGTTCTGTGTGCCTGTCAGGTTCCCAAGGTAACGATGACACACCTGTCAGTGACATCATTCTGGGGTGGGTGGGGCCTTGTGTCTGAAGCATCTGATTGGCCCTCCTCTCCCTCCTCAGGACTCGCCGTCCCTCTCAGCCTCTGATTGGGCAGTGGCGGTGTGCCGTCGTCTCGGGGGGAGCGCCGGGGGCTCCGCGCTGGTTGCCAGGGGAACGGGGAGTAGCAGTGACATCACCGAGGCTCTGAGGTGGGCGGAGGAGTTCGCTCGCCAGAAAATACAACGATGATATCTTTCTGATGTCACGGCGCCTCCTGCTGGTGCCCCGGTAAAGAGGTGCTTCCTGTTTGGACAGGAAGTGTGGGCGCAGGGCCTCGCTGTTGTGGGCAGGGCTTCCATGCTGCTCTCAGCCAATCAGAGAAGCTTTAATAAGCAGCTGGTACAGGTGGCTGTAAGCCCCGCCCACAGCTGCACTCAGGCTCTTCTGATTGGACGAGTCAGATGTGAAGGTTCCTGATGATATTTTATAAATGTGAACATTTCTTTGTTTTCTAATAAATAAAAACTGCTGACAGTCTGATTTATTCTCTTTATTAGTGAATCATTAATAATATTTCTGCAATAAGGCTGATTATCAATAAGGCTGTTCATTAATAAGGCTTCAGGTGTGACAAACAGAAGAAGAATTAAATCTTTGCTAACCCCAGTATTATCTATATTATAAACATATAATAAACAGTTAATAACAAAGTTTACAGTTACAACAAACATTAAACATCTGTTAATAATCTGTTATTACAGGTTATAAATTGATTATTAATCACAATCAGAACTGGGATTGGGATCAGAGGCAGGATCAGAACCAGGATGGTCCTGGTTCTTCAGAGCAGAGACACATTCAGCCACTGCAGAAAAATCACAACAGATTCATGTTAAATAACAAAACGCATTCTGGCTCGTAATGTTAGCTCTCTGTATCGTAGAGGTAATGTTACTCTCGTGTATCGTAGCAGTAGATTTAGCTCTCTGTAATGCGTAGAGTAATGTTAGCTCGGTCTGTATCGTAGAGTAATGTTAGCTCTCTGTATCGTAGCGTAATTTCATGAAAAATGTTATCGCCTGTGTAAAGCTTCGTACCTCCAGAACGCTCAGCTCAATGGTTCCTGAGTTGTCTTTGTCCAGAGTGTAGAACATGTCTGTGGAGAGGAAACAGTCAACATCATCATCATCATCATCATCATGAGGAAGGTCAGTGTGCAGGACTGTGAGGACTCACTGAACATCGTCTCCAGTCTAACCAAACAGCTCACAAAGTTGTCGAAGTCGATGGTGAGATCTGGTTCGCTGTAACGAGCCACCAGGACCTGATGGAGCGGGTTGTTCAGACTGAACCCTGAAACACAAACAGTTCACTGAGGACAGGCAGAGTCACAGGGCAGAGGTCACAGGGCAGAGGTCACAGGGCAAACATTCTGTATATGGATAGAGGTCAGTGAGTCTGAAGCACAGTGCTCATTTTAGACTGAAAGACTTTCTCATCTGCGCTTTATTGTGAAAGGCTGTGTTTTTACCAGCTTCCTCCACAGCTGTCCTCATCTCTGTGGAGCTCATCGTCCCTGAATTATCCACATCCTTCTCACGGTAAATATTCTGTCAGACAGACAGGCACAGAGCAGTATTAGTTATTTAAGATCAAGTAAGTATAATTAAGTTAAGTATATTTTTGGGGGGTTTTATTGCCTTTATTATAGTGACAGCTGAAGATAGACAGGAAAGGGGGGCAGAGAGAGCAAACAGGAAAAGTTGGGACTCACCAGGTAGTTCTCGATTTTGGTCCACAGCACTTTAAACTCCACCAGTCCCAGTTTACCGCTGCCGTCTTTCTGCAGCTGGAGTTCAGGAACTGCTTACTGATGGACTGGAGCTAACTGCCATACACTCATACTGACAGTACCCAGCAGCCCCCACTGCAGCAGTGACATCATATAAACAAATATGTTTATCGTGGTGAATTTGGGTTATTAGGATAATTATTAATATCCTCACGAGCAGTGTAACTTTACCAATTACTGCAAGTTACTTCTCATAAAGAGCCGTCTCTCTCGCTTATAGCCAAAATAATATATATATGATATAATATATATTATAATATGATAAAATATATTTTTAGTGATTTCCTGATTTATTTCAACTTGCCACAAGGGGGAGCCACATCTTTCCAGTCAGTATAGAATCTGACTACTACCAGGGCCACAGAGCCCATACCTGTGTACTGAGGGGTTATTTCCTGTGGTGGAAGGATACGTCCAGCAGGTTGACCATGTTGCGACATGTGGAGATGCTGAAGCCGCTGGTCTGAATGTCAGATCCTGTCAGAGACAAACAGTCATACAGAGTTTAAACTGGACCTCAGATCAGCGCCAGGGGATCATAATGTATGATTCTATATAATAATGTAATATTTAATAATGTGATTTATGATAATTAATATATTAAATATTAATTATTCATCATATATATGATAATGTGGATTCTTAAACGTTTGGATCACCACTTTGTTGAGGAATCTTCTGCATGCTCAAACACAGAGATCTTCACAGTCCTGCAGCACATC